ATATTCATGCACAGATGTCCTCAAGGGCACGTGGCACAGTGGATAAAGGCATTCGTTAAATCCAGTGACAAGACCCAAAAAGTGTATGTTCCTTTTTGAAGAAATAAATTTTTGGAAAAAAAATATTAACAGCATTAAAAATCTTGTCGGCATTAAATAAGCCATACAGATTGATAGGCTTTAAAAGAAATCAGAGCAAACCAAACGAAACTAGCAAATATTATTTAACAAAGATTAAAGAGATCGATATAAAGAATGTTTGAAATATCTTTAATGGGATAATCTCTGGAAATGAAGCATTTGAAGCAAATATCATGGTGGTTATGTAATGGGAGTTAGGAAAACCTCAACAAGGATCGCTCACGCTGAAGACGCGATTTGCACCGAAGGCTTGAGCGAGGAGAAGACAAACAAAGGCTTGCCGCCAAGGAGAAACATGTTCGACGGAAAGAAAACAATAAGATGGCATCGGGGAAGAACGTCTTCACATGTATTATTTGCAATCCTGACTACCTCCCACGTGTATGCATGTACAACCATAATAGATACTGCATCGCCATCAAAGCTGAGGCATAATTCTTTGGGTGCTGATCTATACACTAGAGACAGACAGACATAATGATGTCATAAAACCTGACCAAAATTTTCTATCATCCTTTGCCTCATCTTAAATATTATTTATTATTCAAGATGAAAAAAAAAACACCTCGTTTTCTTATCCATTTGCGTTGTCATTTTAAAGTTATAAATATGCCACTTTTTCACCGTTATCATGCTTCCAAAACAATCGGATCATTTTCAGGTGAAGGATATATATATTTAAAACTTGGCATTCTGACAAAATATGACCAAATGCCAGATAATTTGAGAACGAACAGGCAAATGAGATAGTTATATATTGTTCCAAATATACAAGGAAACAAAGGATATAATTGAGGTGGGGGAAAGAATGTGAAGAATTAAGCGTTCCAAAAATGTGAATGGATACACTGATCATTCAAAGTGGAAACGTCGAATATTATATAGAAGAAAGCATTCCTGTAGGAAGAAATAATCTTGAAAAGGATATGAAAAATGAAACAGAAAAGCTCTGTTTATGGTCCAATAGATATGAGATCCTATACATCCTTGTGCAAAGTAATTGAAACAACTGCTTTAGTTTCCCTTCTTTCACCATACAACCAATTTTAGATCCTCTGGTTTGAGAGTGTGTTAATTGATTTCTATTTTTTCTCAGATTAGATCTTTTGATAACTTGCAGTAATGTGAATATATTTTCGGGGTATATGATGAAATTGATTTGGCCTTGAAAAACATTGTGTCATCGATGATCGCATCAGATTTTCATCAATCCAAGACACTATTATCTCGATTGTCAATTAGTTGTCCTACGGCAATTGTCAGTGGACGTTAATCCAAGGAGCGTGCGTAAATTGTAATGCTGCACGAACACACTAGCAAGCCTTACCAGTGAACAAATCAATTACTATAGACTGGTTCGGAAAATCTTCTGATTTAAATCCAATCGAGAATCTGTGGTCAAACTGCAAGGAACGACTTCGTAGAATGGACATACAAAGTACTAACATGTGCACTGGGTCATGTTTCATTGAAAAAATACGAAAAAAGTAAATAATAACGGAATTATTTGTTTCAGTTCAATTAATTTGCTCAAGTGGAAATGTAAAAAAAAACAAAAAAAACACGATGCTTGATAATGGATACTCGTACGGCCAAAACTATTTCAAACAAATGAACTGTTCAGGAGAGAAAAGATTTCTGAAGCCAACATACTAACAAAACCTTCGAAGACGTAAGACGGAAATTAGGATATACAATGGACGCAATGCACCACAGAAATGCCAAAAAGTTAGAAAGGATTATGTAAAAGCTTCCACTAAAAGTGGTTTATCAAGCATGGAGATCTTGGTGCCGCTTCGCTTCTAATATTGTTCATGCCTTCATGAAAAAGAATCATCCAAAGATTTGGGAAAGAAGGTAAAAGGAATTGGGAACCGGTAAAGGCCTTTTTATTGTTTGCATATATATATATATATATATATATATATATATATATATATATATATATATATATATATATATATATATATATATATATATATATATATATATATATATATATATATAGTACCGCTATATTCAAATTATTCAGCCCTACTACTGGTTTTCATACACACTTCATATACATAGTACGTTAAAATTTCCCTTTCTGCCGTGCGTCCATAGGAGTAAGATCACCGACTGAGTTTCGATCCCGCCTTGAAGCAATCGAATCGAATGAGCCGTAATACAGCGAAACAGGTTTTTATCTGGATGACTACATATATATATATATATATATATATATATATAGTGCTGGTGTTAATTAAACTGTGCTCAATGTTATACAGAAGAGATGAATGTAGATTGTAGAATTCTACAATCTACGTATAACATCATCACTTGATAAGACACCAGAGGTGTTGAAACAAAATGGCTA